CCCTCAAGTGCTGCTACTCCTGTGTCTGTCGCCATCCAAGTCAACGGCGCTACTATCACCTCTACCTCCCAGGCTCGCTGCCTAGGAGTTCTTTTTGATTCTGATCTCTCTTTTACTCCCCATGTTCAATCGATAGCCAAATCCTGTCGCTTCCAACTCAAGAACATAGCGCGCATCCGCCCATATCTAACGCCGGACGCGGCTAAGGTACTGGTTCATGCTGTTGTTCTCTCTCGCCTTGACTATTGCAATCCCCTTCTCACCGGTCTTACATGTTCCCAGCTTGCACCGCTGCAATCTATAATGAATACGGCTGCGAGGCTTATTTTCCTGTCCGGTCGCACCTCCCACGCCTCCACGCTCTGTCAGTCCCTGCATTGGCTTCCAGTTAGATATAGGGCCCAATTCAAAATTCTGGCACTTGCTTACAAATCCCTACATAATGCTGCTCCAACATACCTATCCTCCCTCATACACAAGTATGTCCCGTCGAGACCCCTGCGCTCAGCCCAAGACCTACTCCTATCCTCTGCCCGGATCCCCACCTCTGATGCTCGCCTTCAAGACTTCTCCAGGGCTGCACCTATTCTGTGGAACTCCCTTCCCTCCTCAATCAGACTTTCACACAGCCTCCATTCCTTCAAAAAATCTTTGAAAATTCACTTCTTTCTTAAAGCATATCAATTAAACTGTCAGCAGGTTTCTCATTCCCCACCCCATAACTCCATTCCTTCTCCTGTCAAAAATGACCTACCAAGCACTCAATAAACCCTTCTGTAACAAACTATTTAATTCCCCTACTTTAACCCTTTGTGTCACTATACCCCACTCCCTCTAGCATGTAAGCTCATCGAGCAGGGCCCTCAACCCCCTCTGTTCCTGTACGTCAGTGGTCTGATCTCAATTATGTGTCTGTTAGTCCACCCATTGTACAGCGCTACGGAATTTTTTGGCGCTATATAAATAATAAAATAATAATAATAATAATAATAATAATAATAATAATATATATTTGGACTTATTGTATGTGTGAGGGGCGCAGTGTGTGTATGTAAGAGGGGTGCTGTGTGTGAGGGTATTTTTATCTGCTGTCACATTCTAGGTTTCTAATTTTCTTTGTCTGTTAACTCACTGAGGGTTATTTTATATATATATGTGTGTGTTGTATATGTGTGGGAGTGTGCTGTGTGTGTGAGTGAGGGTGCTGTGTGTGTCTGGGGGGTGCTGTGTCTGGGTGCGCTGTGTGTGTCTGGGTGCGCTGTGTGTGTCTGGGGGTGCGCTGTGTGTGTCTGGGTGCGCTGTGTGTGTCTGGCGGGTGCTGTGTGTGTCTGGGGGCTGTGTGTGTCTGGGTGCGCTGTGTGTGTCTGGGTGCTGTGTGTGTCTGTGCTGTGTGTGTCTGGGGGCTGTGTCTGGGGGTGCTGTGTGTGTCCAAAGTGGGGTCTGGGGGGTGCTGTGTGTGTCTGGGGGTGCTGTGTCGGTCTGGGGGTGCAGTGTGAGTTTGGGTGCTGTGTCTGGGGGTGCTGTGTGTGTCTGGGGGGTGCTGTGTGTATCTGGGGGCTGTGTGTGTGAGTGAATGTATTTTTTATTTAAATTTACATATTTTTTTTTACTAATAAAAAAACAAAACAAAAGCATAATGTTTTCGCCTACACCTGTTATAATACATTTAAAACTGTGCACTACTTATCTTTACCCCACTTGTGAAATCTGTAACAAAGCTCGAGGAATACCTTTGGGGTACCTTGAGCCTGTCTGTACCAAACTTCTGCACTGCAAAAAAAAAAAATTAAAAAAAAAAAATATTTCCCCCCCCTCCCTTCTTACCTCTATCCTGGGAGGGGGGGGGGAGCCGTGCCGTTCTGCCATGGAGGGAGGGGAGCCGTTCTGCCATCCTTCCCTGGTGGTCCAGTGGTGAGAGTGAACTCTAACCTGCAGGTTAGAGTTCACTCTCGCGAGATCTGAGCGTTGCCGTGGCAACGCTCAGAATCCAGCGAGAGGACCCGGCGGAGCTGCTTGTTAGAGCTCCGCCGGGTCCTCTCTCCTCCCTCCCTCCTTCACCCAGCTGGCGGCCGCATCTCCCTGCCTCTGGGCCGGTGAGGGAGATCTTTGATCTCCCTCACCGGCCCACGGAGGCACACAGCAGGGCCGGCGCTCGGATAGCGCTGGCCCTGCAGGGGCCGGCCGGGGAGATCCCCTGCCGGCCTCGGCCCCACGGCCATCGCGGCCCACCGGGCATTTGCCCGGTATGCCCGGTGGCCAGTCCGGGCCTGTACCCAGTATTTAAGGACGACATGTGTGCACGTGACTGTATTTGACAGTATGTTTGTGCATCTGACGGTGTCTGACTTTCTTCGCCCTGCAGTGAGTCGGCAGCTGGGATATGACGTCATCACAGGGCGTGCAAGGGGCCTGTGCAGGAAGAGCACAGAGATCCCAGCAGCAACCACTGACCACCAGGGACTGACAATGTACTCCAGCCCTCCCAGAGCAAGGTAGGGAAGCTCTTAATTATTAAATGTGTGTATGTATGTGATGTTTGTGTGTGTATGTGATTGTATGTCTGTGGTTGTATGTGTGTGGGTCTGTGATTGTGTTTGTGTATGTCTGTGTGTTCATCTGTGGTTACGTGTGTGTTGTGATTATGTGTGTTTATGTATGTGATTGTGTGTGTGTCTGTGGATTGGGGGAAGGCTCTGAGTGTGTGTTTGTGTGTGTGTGTGTGTGTGTGTGTGTGTATATTGTGATAAAGTGAAGGCAGATAG